AATAGTAAATATCTTAAATTCTATATTTTCTTTTTTTTTTTTTTTTTAATACTATTTTAAGTAATCATATTTTTAACTTTATGTTATTATATATACTTTTTTCTTTAGTCAAAAATGTATTGTTTTATTAAAACTACGATGAAATAAAAAAAAAAGTCATAATTTTAGTAGAGAAAATGTTATTCATTTTTTATAATGTTATTATTATGTAATTTATATTTAAAATTCTGAAAAATAAAAAATAAGATATAACTATTATTTATAATACTTTGATAAATTATTGACAAAAAAAAAAAATAATATTAAAATGAAAAAATACATAACCTATGTTAATATAAATATATAGGTAGAAATATATATATATATATATATAATGAAAATTGAAATATATTAACAATAAGAAAAATAAATACAAAAATGATTATACTGCATATAAATATAATATTAAAATGAATATGTAAAAAGAAAAAATGTTAGAATGTAAATATATATAATAAAAAAAAAATTATTCCATGAAGTAATATCATTTTAAGAATACAAAAAAAAATATATATCATATCGATCACAGACTTTATTTATTTAAATAATTTGGAATTTAAGTAATAATTTATAAAAAAATTAAATTTTTTTTTATTATTGTTATGTATTTAATATATATAAAAAAAAAAAAAAAAAAAAAAAAAAAGTATATATGTATATATAAATATAAATATATATATTTATATATATATGTATATAAATATATAAATATAAATATATAAATATAAATATATATATAAATATATATATATATATATATATATATATATATATATATATATATATATGTATATATATAATATATAATTTGAATATAAATTTTAAATTAATATTTTTCATAAAAATAGTATTTATAATATATATATTTGATAATTTATATTTTATTTTTTTTTAATATAAAAATCTAAAATTAAAAATTTACAGTCAAATATAAATTTTCCAAAAAGAAAAAAAAATTAAAAAATATTTTGTCATATAAAAAATTTCTCTTTTAAATGAATTTTTTTTTTTTTTTTTTTTTTTTTTTTTTANAAATTTTTTTTTTTTTTTTTTTTTTTTTTTGTTCTCTTAAAAAGCAATTACAAATTTTGTAAAAATTTAAATTATACTTTTTATATGAATAAAAAATGGGAAAGGTAAATTGAAGATATATTATTTACATACATTTTTCTAAAAAGCAAAAAAAAAAAGTTTCAATGAAAATTAAAATTATAATTAATAAATAAATAAACAAGATACATAATATAACAATCATATGGTATTTAATAATTATTAATTACAGTGATATTTCATTTTTTTTTTTTTTTTTTTATTTTTGTAGGATTATTATTCTATATTAGGAGTTAGTAAAGATGCTACTACAAATGATTTAAAAAAAGCATATAGAAAAATGGCCATGATGTGGCATCCAGATAAACATAAGGATGTTAAATCAAAAAAGGAAGCAGAAGAAAAATTTAAAAATATAGCTGAAGCTTATGATGTTTTATCTGATGAAGAAAAAAGAAAAATTTATGATACATATGGAGAAGAAGGATTAAAAGGATCTATTCCTACAGGAGGAAATACTTATGTATATAGTGGAGTAGATCCATCTGAATTGTTTAGTAGAATATTCGGTTCAGATAGCCAATTTTCTTTTACATCAGCATTTGATGAAGATTTTTCTCCGTTTTCTACATTTGTAAATATGACTTCAAGAAAAACAAGACCTTCTACTACTACAAGTTAACAAAACAATAAAAAAAAAAAAAATAAAATAAATAAATAAATAAAATAAATAAAATAAATAAATTAATAAAAGACAAGTTAATTAATAAAAAAAATGATAAAGTTACAACTTAGTATAAAGTTCTAATGAATACAATTTTCTATATATTTATTATAATCATTTTTACATTTTTTTTTTTTTTTTTTTTTTCATATTTTTTATAGATATAAATTCTAATAATTATAACAAACCAGCAACATATGAAGTACCACTTTCTTTAACATTAGAAGAATTATATAGTGGATGTAAAAAAAAATTAAAAATAACAAGGAAGAGATTTATGGGTACAAAAAGTTATGAAGATGATAATTTCGTAACTATAGATGTAAAGGCAGGATGGAAAGATGGAACAAAAATTACTTTTTATGGAGAAGGTGATCAGTTATCTCCGATGGCACAACCAGGTGATTTAGTTTTTAAAGTAAAAACAAAAGCACACGATAGGTTTTTAAGAGATTCCAATCATTTAATATATAAATGCCCAGTACCACTTGATAAAGCTTTAACTGGTTTTCAATTTATTGTAAAATCGTTGGATAATAGAGATATAAATGTAAGAATAGATGATATTGTAACACCAAAAACTCGAAAAATAGTTGCAAATGAAGGTATGCCTTCTTCAAAACATCCTGGTATGAAAGGAGACTTAATTGTAGAATTCGATATTGTTTTTCCAAAAAATTTAACTAGCGAAAAAAAAAGAATAATAAGAGAAGTACTCGCAAACACATTTTAAAAAAAATGAAATAAAGAATTCTAAAAGTATCATAAACAAATATACAACAAAATAAAAAAATAAGATTAAGTAAAACAAAATAAAGATAAGATTCAAAGTTTGCTGATATATTATTAGTATTATTAATATAAATGAAAATAAAAAAAAATGAAAAAAAAAAAAAAAAATATATATTTTCGAACGTATTAGTAAAATTAAATAGTCTGATAAATATTTATATTATTAAAACACACAGCCAAGAAAATTGATATAATATTATTATATAATTACCGATAATTAAATAATTTTTTTTCTTTTTTCTTTTTTTTCATATTGAAATTTTGAATATTTAGATTTTTAAATATATTTATATAGCTTATCTTTTCTATTTATTACATATTAGAATGAAAAAAATTGAATAAAATAAATATAAGTTTAAAAATAGGAAATTGTTACAATTTGATAAGCTCTTTGTTTTATTGTATCTTTTTTTTGCAAACTCAATATATAAATATATAGTTACATATGTAAATTTTATGTTTTATTTGATTTTCTAAATTTTTTAAATGTTAATAATATTAAAATAAAGTATATAATTAAAAAAAAAAAAAAAAAAAAACGTAATTTTTTTTTTTTTTTTTACAAAATTAATTAATTAATTGAATATATTTTTCATAAGATGAACATCCATTATGTCTAAAAATATTATCTTGTTTATTTAAAAAAGAATTAAAAAAGCATTTAAACAAATTGATAGGCATAAATTTTTCCCAATAAGTGGATTTTAATGGATTTATTAAAAAATCAATAGAAAGAAAAGTAACTAATCCAAAATATATAAAAATTCTTAAGGACTCACATTGTTGTTTGAAATCTTGATATGTATGAGCTCTTTTAGTAAAAAAGTCGAAAGCATATTCAACATTTTTACTTATCTAATGAAAAAAAAAAAAAAAAAAATGATAATAAAATATATAATTATTTAATATAATGTCTTAGTAGATCATTAAATTTTATTTCTGATTTAAAAAAAAAATTATATTACTAATTTCATTTTTTTTTTTTTTTTTTTTTCGTACCTCTTTTGGTAAAGGACCTCTAACAGTATTTCCTAAAAATCTTTTTTGATTTAAATACGAAAATTTCTTGAAATTATTTTTAAAAGCATTCATCTTTTATATAATTACATTTAGAAATAAAATAATGAAACTTGATATTTTTTTAAAAAAAGAAAAGAAAATTATAGTTTGTGTAGTTATAATGAAAGAGTTGTTCTTATAAGTTTTTTTTTTTTTTTTTTTTTTTTTTTTTTTTTAAAAATTTTTTTTATTTTTTTTTAAATTTT